AAGTACAACAGTTTATATAATTTGACTTTGTTATTCAAATAGTGGATTATATTCTGTCTGTTTACCACTAGGTGTTATGATTTTGTATGCAGTCCAAATTTTCTTTTCTAGCCATAGCTTTTGGGCATAATTAAATGAGCAAATGTGCTTAAGAAATATAATAATCAAACAAAATGGAATAAGGTAATAAAGAGAAAACTTGAGAACATTAAATAAAATCAGGATGATGTTTGGATGAAAAGCATAATGGGACCTTGTTGGTGCCATTAAAAGTATATCTGCAAAGCTAAAAGCCTTAAAAAAGGTTAAGTTGCATTTCATCTAACTTCAGTGATTCTGTTATAAAATATTTTATTCAACTCAGGAAATTGAATTAATTTGATTGGAATGTAATTTGATTTCGCCAGCTTACTTGGCTGCCAAATCTACCAGGAACTAAAATCTATGAAGTCCATGTATTATGCCAACATTTATGTATTATCTAATGTAGACTTCCCCAATTTAGCTTGCCTGGACTATTAGATTATAACTACTGTAATGCTTGGCCACCTGTCCAACGATTGTACCATCTGAGGATGATGGAAGTTCAACACAACTGGAGGATACCACATACAGAAGTCTGATTAATCCACATTTTAGCTGGGTGATGTGAAATGTATCTTATATACAAGGATAATTATGTATGTCCGATGAAAATTATACTTAATTTTCAAAATTAATATTGGAATAAAACTTCACATGAAATACTTTAACTAGAGTATGAGTCTACATTAACTACATTGAATACTGTATTACATATATATTACTATATATGTAATATGGGCTGGATTCAGGACACACATCTCATTTAAATCATTGAGATTTTAGCCCTGGATAGTTTTACATTGATTTCAATGGAGCATTAATGTGACTGTTTTAATTTAGATCCAGTGATCCAATACAATTAATAGGCATATAAATTCAGTGTGCAACTTAACAATTACTGAAAAAACAATCAGATATGCATTACTGCAGTTTTACAACTACATCAGGACAATCTCTTCTTGGAATTCAGCAACATGTAAATATAATGGTTTCATAAAGTAGGTTGCACAACACACTAAAATTTGGTTGGCTTAACATATTACTTTTGGTTGGATTCTTACAATATGCTAAACTAAAGCCAAACAAATCACACATTTACTTAGTGCAAAGCGTGAACCAGTCACAGTGTCCAATCAGATAGTCAACCCAAGACTCTCTCAAATTTGGCACGTTTTTACTAAATCTAAAATCTGACACCTTTTGTAATATTGCACAGGTACTGGACCATGTTTTTCAGAACCAGAAAACATGACTATTCCCTGGTGCCCTTCTGATGTTACAGTAGGTTATTTCCATGGATGGTTCTTCCCTAAAAATGTTCAAAAAAGCAATGTTGATTAACAGAATTATCTTAATTGCTGGTGATTTCATGGACACATCACATAATTTTCATGGCAGCATTTGAGAATTGCTTTGCCATTGCCACCTTCTGCCATTTTTTTTAAAAAAAATTCTAGTCTAGACTACAGACCTCTCATCTTCATCTATACTAATCAGGTCTATCCTTAGTTTTTGTAAATCAGTGAAGGTTGGCTATGTGCTGCCACCTAGCCAGGCTTTGATGTACAATGGCTCCTGATTATTTCTCTTAATTTCCTTTTACTCTCATTGTGAATAGGGAGATTGCAATACAATTCTGTTTGTGTTATTTGGAACAAAGATCGATACCAGAGCTTATGACTCCTGCTAAATTCTGGTGCTTGTCATAAGTAAAGAAATAATTGTCCTTTTATCCAATAATTTATATATAAAATTAGAATTCATTATAGCCAATATAACCCTTGACAGAAATATTATTATGGTACTGTATGCTGGGGCCTTCTGACAGTGATCCAAACAGACTAGGTCAATACATAATCTGATCCAAAATCTAATAAGATATGGTTTGAGTGTTCTTTATTCCTTTGTTTTTTGTATTTAATTAAAAATGTTAAAATAATAAAGAGAATTCCATATATGCTACCATAACTCTCTAAAAGAAAAGAACAATGATAAATTTAAATCTGGAATCAAGGATAGGTATTCCTGGATACTTGTCAAGACCCACATCATACAGTGACCTACTATCAATCATGGGTTTATCTCTTACTTTTGCTACTGTATCCTGTTTTCCTGAGATCTTTCAAGATGCAAGCAATGATCACATTAAGGAAACAGAACATCTTTCACTTATCTTGTAGTTTCAGAAAGTAGCAAGTAGGTAGCAGGAACAGAGGTGAGAAAGAAGTAGGGTCATTCAAGCAGAGGACCCTTTTAGGGAATCTTGCCAAAGGCTCTCCAAAACCTGGAGCCAAGAGTAGATAGAAATTCATTTGGGTCATAAACTATACAGTGTATTCCTAAAATGCAGACATTTTACAACAAAACTGTAATTTATAGCTTATGATAAATCTCTATTTGCCTCCCTTGCATAAGAATATTTCTAGGCTTTACTGTTAACATTTAAGAATCCCAAGGAACATGAAACTTTTCCTTCGTATTTGAGGGATGCATGTTCACTCAATGGTTCCATTTCCATATTATGTTTACAGCACCTAAAAGCTGTGCTAAAGACAGAAGCAAAACAATATACCTTCTTGTTCAAATATAATTATTTAAAAAAAAACCAAACAAACTGCCTATGTTGTCACTGCTTTTATACTAAGCAGATTTTCTATGCTTTCATGATAACAAGGAAAACAGTCAAACACTGAGATGTTCTACAGTCAAGACACAAAATCTAACAAAGTTCATAAAGATACAGTAGCACCACTTTAATTGGTTAGAGCAAAGGAAGTCTTTCTGTGTTGATGTTATAATAATGTATGTGAATTACTTATGCCATCATACTCCACTTATAATAGTTTGAATAAAATACCTACGATATTGGAAGCAATTTCCTTCATAGTACTCAACAATGGCAGCTAATAACCAGGGCACAAAATGTCAGCAATAAAAGCATAAGTAACTTTTAGATCAGTATTTCTCAACCTTGGCAGCTTTGAGATTTGTGAACTCTCAGAATTCCCCAGCCAGCCAGTGTTTCTCAAAGCTGCCAAGGTTGAGAAACACTGCTTCAGATACTTATGTAGTCAGGATTAAGACAGCTGAATGTTCTTCTAAGAAATTGCCCCAGAAGGAAATGGCACTCTGCATTGTTGTGAGCACAGTATTCTCAGGTGCTCCTCTTAAAGGAGGACATGCTCATAGACAGATCTCAGCTCTATAGTCAAATCTATGAGGTATCCAACTGCAAGTCTGAACAGTTGGTTATAATATACACTGACCTCCACAAACAGTAGTAGATAATCTCCAATACACCCTCAGAAACTTTATTTCTGAGGATGCAATGCACTGGGCTTGGGGACAGCAAGTCCTTTGAAGAACTATTTCAGTAATGAGCCACAGTGCCCCCAAGAGCTAATGAGTGGTTGATGATTATGAAAGACTTACATGCATATCATTGTACATAACTAGGTAAGATGGCAACTTCATCTTGATAGATGGAAAATGGTGAATATTGTATAATATATTATAATATTAAGCCATGCTTAGAATAGATCCACTGGCATCTGGTAAGGATTACAGAACTATAGAATGCAGGACATTTCTTCAGTCTGTCAATTAAAGGACTAGATGAATAAGAAATGGATGTCAGTGTAAAGGGCAGATGAAAAAGAATCTGAAAAAAAAAGTCCTAAAGACTGACTGGAAACCACCCTTCTCTGTTAAGGTTATCAATTTATTGAAAACTGTTTCAACTGAGATATGCCTGGTTCCAAGCTTGTAATTATTTAGGTACTATGTGATTTTTTTAAAAAAAAATTGACCTAGGCATTCTAAGTTAACCAGACTGCAGCCGTGTTCTGGAAGTTTTGTTTCCTAACGTTTCGCCAGCATCTGTGACCACTCGTTAACAACTCAATAGAAAAAACTCTGCCTAACCCCCAGGAAGATACACACATATCCTGACACCAAAACAAGCAGCCACTCGTTGAACCCCCCCACCCCCCTTCAGGTACCCTCGCTGATCTCTATAAATACCCAGAAAAGGGTCACATCACCCTGGGCACAGAGAGAACTGGTCCTGTCG